GGACATCAGAGGAAGAACAAATGGATTATGTTGGATTCACTAAACATTTGACTGGTGGATTGAAAACAGAAAAGCAATTCTAGAAGAATCTGAGGCGTCACTGCAAATATATGGCACCTGCCCCACATCACACCTTGAAGAAGCCCTAAGGACCATACATAATCCAAGAACTGAAAATGAAATCTGTAACATTTAACAACTAATGACACATGGCAATCACTTAGTATATGGTGTTACTGTTATTCTACAGGCAGATTGTTAGCCTATTTGGTCTTTGTTAACATTATATCTCTATGTACTTAACCCTCGTAATTGCATAAATTATATGCTACTATTACTCCTCTGTTAGAAATGGGAAACCTAGATTTTTTTTTCCCCCAAGGAAGTCATGATTTATACATGAAACTAGGATTCACATTCTACTGTCTCTGTCCAAAAAGTCCATGTTACTATCATCGCAGTTTCACTCTAGTAAAATAAAAGAACCATATTGCACTTAAACTTGAAAGTTTGAGTGGCCTTAAATTTGAAATTTTATACTGGCATAAAAAGCAAAATTAATAATAATGCCACCCTTCACTGGTATTGTCCTTTACAGCAGAAAATGCTGTCGTGCCCATGATGTTCACTTATCTTCAAACAACTTTAGAAATAAGCTTTACTATCACCATATATTATAAATAAACAAGCTGATAATCAGTTTGAAAGATCTTCCTGGGGCCATACATTTGGTAAGTGGCAAAGAAGATCTCAAAGTTTTCTTGTGCTTTTGGGTCCAGTGTTGGCTGTTGCTTGTGACTCTATCCTAGAGAGAAAATGGTGCAGGTCTTGTTCCTTGTGAAATACTTCATTTCCTCATGAGAAATCCTGGCATGATAAGAACACTCTTCTAGAGAGAAGAGACCTTAAGAAGTATTTGATTCTTTTACTAAGATGTCCTTGGGGAAAGATCCTGTGAGAATCTCAAGTACCATAGAAATTAAAATATTAAAAGTGGTATCACATTCACAAAATATTAATTTTATGTGGTAATTTTCTGTACTAAGACCTTATTTATGGATCCTCAAAGTTGAAAAGAAAGCTAAACTTTTCAAATTATTTCTGTGTTCAAGAAAATGTGCTTGGTTACTAAGATGTCCTTGGGGAAAGATCCTGTGAGAATCTCAAGTACCATAGAAATTAAAATATTAAAAGTGGTATCACATTCACAAAATATTAATTTTATGTGGTAATTTTCTGTACTAAGACCTTATTTATGGATCCTCAAAGTTGAAAAGAAAGCTAAACTTTTCAAATTATTTCTGTGTTCAAGAAAATGTGCTTGGTGTAATTCTCTTCATTGATTTAGCCATTGAGTTACCCATTGCATGTGTTGTTCTTGCAGGATTGATGGTGAATCATTTCACCTCCTACCAGTCCTTTCATCTACAGTCTTTCAAAGTCTTTCTGTACATTCACTTATTTTTCTTAATTGCAACCAAGTTTTCATCTCCTTTCAGCTTTGAGATACCACAATGGCAATACTTTCCCAGCCTCCAAAATTATTGACATTCTTTCATACTTGAACATCAATAGTAGTTTTGATTTTCTGAATATTTGTGAATTCTTAATTAAAAGCAGGAAAAATGTCAGAAATATGCCAGGTGACAAGGGGAAATCTATCTTTGACTGAAGAATTCACCATGTCCCTCAAATTGACAGCAGAAGCTAATATTTAATGTTTTCCAGGCCATAGTTCTAAAGTTTTTTAACCTATATTAATCCATCCACACCTCACAGTAAATGTAGGATGTAGTTGGTATTTTTATCCTCACTTTGTAGATGAGGAAGAGGGGTCAAAGAAAGGCAAGATAATTTCCTTGCCTTCCCCTATAAATAAGGAGATAGCTTTGCAATCCTGGCTGCCATTTTTAGAGTTTGTATACTTAAACATCTACACTGCTTTACTCACAGTATTGGAAGAAAAATATAAAACCCTATGAGATCTACAAAGAAAACTTGAACCTCAAAGAAAATGAAAGATAAAATTGAAGATAGGATAGAAAAAATTTTGAGAGAAAAATGCTATGAAGAACCTGATTTTCTTTTCTCCATTGGAAATGAAATGCATTAAAATTAAGTAGTGATTAAAAAAAACTTACTTCAACATACTTAATGTATACAAGGAGGGAGAAAGGCAAAATTAAACTCAAATAGTGCAAGGCGAAAAAGTTGTGCGTTAGTACAAAACCCAAAGATCTTCTTCTATTCTCTGCATTACCACTAATGAGCCATCGAAGAGGTAACAGATTTAAAGACCTTCACACTATCCCTGCAGTCACTCAGAGCTCACCAAATATTGTTCCAGGTTCAGTCCCTTCAGAAGCAAAGAGTTTAGAGTGGATAATCCTCAAGGTCTCTTCTTGCCTTGTGTCTCTGTGATGTCACCAGGGTCTTAATTCATCAAATGCTTTCTTTGTTTTTCTCCTTGGCAGCACAGGGCTGGGCTCTGTGAAGATGCAGAAGGCATGAGCCACCCCTGGGAGGGGTTTCTGATGCTTTATCTGTGCAGGGGAATCTCCTGGAGACAGGACAGGTGAGGCCAGCACACTTTGATGCTGTAAATGACTCATCGTGCTTAGACATTTTTATAATTTTGCAATTGTCAGAATGTTTATATAATGTTAGAGTAGAGGGGATCATGAAGAGATTAGGATTTTGTAGTAAAATTCTGTTTCATTAAATTGGATTTAATTTAGCTATGGCAGAGGCTCTCAGTGAGCCCCTAATATTCATTTAGCTTGTTTGCCCTGTAAATAGAGCCCTTGTTTTAGCTGACCACATCAATAATACTCCTCAGTCTATAAGCAGCTGTATTTGACTCCATAACTACTTTGTGGAAATGGGATATAAAGGAATTGCTCATGAAACCTCTGAGATGTTTTTTTGTTTGTTTGTTTGTTTTTAATGGAATGCGTAAACCCTTCCTCCAACCCTCTTCCTTTCTGCGGGCTGCAATGAAATGACTGGAGCTTAAGCAGCTACTCAGAACTATAAAGTGAAAGCCATGCAACTAGAATAAAGGAGTCTAACTGGGTTTCTGGTGATCTTGTAATGACTTTTTCTAATTCTGAACCAGTCTTTTAATGTGTGTCTGAAAGAATATTTCTTTGCATTACTTTTCCATACTGTCTGCAACTTCACTGTCATTTAGGTATGTCTGTCAACTGCAATGGAACCTTATCTGATACAGGTGTCCCCGGTGCGGTAAGTAGCAAGTAACGATTTGAGGTTTTTCGTTCCATTTGCAAGATCAGCCTATGTTTTCTATTTAGGATAGAGGCGAATGTAGAAACCAATACAAAAGGTACAGAAGCACTCATGTTTACAGTATGTCATGCAAACAAACCTATACCGGAAAAAAAACAAACCCACAGCTACGGTACATACAAGATGGCACGAGTTGTTATGCATGATCATTTTACTTTCTCCTGTCTATTGTTAACCTTCCGCATGTTTATTTTGTTTGCGTTTTGCCTGGAGGTGCGTTACTTACGGAAGTGTTGAAACACTTCTTGCCTGATAAACACAAAAGTGATATGAGGAGGAAAATTCATGTGGTGCCACTGTCAACGGAAGAAACAGTGAGAAGTGCTGAAAGTGGCGTGGAAATGACAAATGCGCGTGTGACTCTGGGAAGAAACTACTCAATGGGAGGGGTCATTTTCAAAGACAAAGTGGGACACCTGAAAATGCTTTCGTGATGCTGTCACAAAAGTCTGCAGGGGATGTGGCAAAATAAAAACACATTTCTCTTGAGAGTAACACCAGTAAGAGCCACCTACGGCTAATTTAATTAAAAATAATGAATGGGGTACCTCAGTGGTCATTGAAAACTAAGCAAAAGTCCACAAATCATAATTTGTTATAAAGCGCAGGTGATCCAAGAAGATTGTGAAACTGCACAACATCAAAGTGAGTCCCTTAAGCAGCATACATTGTACTTCACTTAGGTTTTCCCCGAAATACATGTGGACCGGACAGTGAAGCAGGGCTCCTCATTACAATAGATTTTTAGGGTAGAAAAATGAGCCTATTTGGGGAACAAGATGTCTAAAAGAAGATTTTTCTCATACAGCATCTAAAGGAGTGGTTGTACCCTTATTTGTTAGGAAGTGTATTTGAAGACTTAATTTTTTAATTTCTCATACATTTCGGCGGACTTAGGAACAAATATTGCACTCACAAAAGTTTTGTGAAAAGTTTTAGAGAACCTTACTAGCTGATGGGTGATCTGCTATTGAATATGCACACTTGTTGTTATTCTCTGTGTTGTATTTTTAAAGTACTTTGTAAAACCATTGTCAGGTTATCAAGTTAAAATGCAAAGGCTCCATGATTCCTTTGACGATTTTATTAAATTGTAAAAGCCTAAAGCAAAAAAAAAAAAAAAAAAA